CGTTTTATACACTTCGTTTTTATACAGTTCTCTGCCCAAGTGTCTTTCTCTTTCTTGTTTTATATACTTCGTTTTATACAATTTGCTTCAACTGTATATGTATAACGAATTATACAGTTTCTATGTTTGCTATGGAGCGCTATTATGCAAACTTTGCTATAGCATACAAATATGATTTTTTTATTTGCTATATGCTAAAGTTACCCTTTTTTATTATCAATTAGATTAATTTTACCCGTTATATAATAATGTGATTCGATTTATTTATGTAATATTAACAATGTATAAAAGGTAAATTTTATTTTCTCGTTATCAAATTTAAATGTATTGAATAATTTAATTGATCAATAATTTTAAATTGAAGATAAAAAATATTTATCATCCGAACAACTCCGCTCGTCGATTACGAAAAATAAGAGTTGGGGAAATATTATCTGAAAATATTATGTGACAGATGGGCCTAAAAAAGTTGCTCAAACACGTGAAGACTAGCTACCGCCTACCAGTTTGTTATGAAAATTTCTTCTATAAATATCAAAATCTCCATGCAAACTTAACACAAGCCATTTTCTCTTCTTCACTTGCTAAAATTTGTATAATATTTTTTGTATTTTCATATACATAAATCTTAGTAAAAAAAAAAAAAAACCGCGAAAATGGTCACCGTTGAGGAGGTTCGAAGGGCGCAACGTGCAAAGGGACCAGCTACTATCATGGCCATAGGCACGGCGACTCCTTCGAACTGTGTTGATCAAAGCACTTATCCTGATTATTATTTTCGAATCACTAATAGTGAACATATGACTGAGCTTAAGGAGAAATTTAAGCGCATGTGTAAGAAATATACCCATTTTTTGAAATTATTGTTTATCATCTAATCTTACACATTTTTAGTGTGGATTATATATTTAAATAAGATATAATTACATATACCAAAACTATGTTTTGGCTATTGATAATTAAATGGTATTCCTAATTAATTGTATCACACATGATATACTTTACTTGATACTAACTAATTATATATCAACATACAACAAAGATGAATTTTATTAGGTTTTCTCGATAGATTGATAAATATTCTTTTTTTGATTATTATTTTTCGTTTAACGCAGGTGATAAATCGATGATTAATAAGAGATATATGCATTTAACTGAAGAAATTTTAAAAGAAAACCCAAATATTTGTGAATACATGGCTCCTTCTTTGGATGCTAGACAAGATATAGTGGTGGTTGAAGTGCCAAAACTTGGCAAAGAAGCAGCCCAAAAGGCCATTAAAGAATGGGGTCAGCCCAAGTCCAAGATCACCCATGTGGTCTTTTGCACCACTAGTGGGGTGGACATGCCTGGGGCCGACTACCAACTCACCAAGCTTCTTGGGCTTCGACCTTCGGTTAAGCGGCTCATGATGTATCAACAAGGTTGCTTTGCTGGTGGGACCGTTATCCGACTGGCAAAGGACTTAGCTGAGAACAACAAGGGTGCTCGAGTTCTTGTTGTTTGCTCAGAGATCACTGCAGTTACTTTTCGTGGTCCAAGTGATACTCATTTGGATAGTATGGTTGGACAAGCCCTTTTTGGTGATGGGGCAGCCGCAATGATTATAGGTTCAGATCCATTACCAGAAGTTGAAAGGCCTTTGTTTGAACTCGTCTCTGCAGCCCAAACTCTACTCCCTGATAGCGAAGGTGCTATTGATGGTCACCTTCGCGAAGTTGGGCTAACATTTCACTTGCTCAAAGATGTTCCTGGATTGATCTCGAAAAACATTGAAAAGAGTTTAATTGAAGCATTCCAACCGTTAGGCATTTCTGATTGGAATTCCATCTTTTGGATCGCGCACCCTGGTGGGCCGGCGATTCTAGATCAAGTTGAACTAAAACTGAGCCTAAAGCCCGAAAAACTTCGGGCTACTAGGCAAGTTTTAAGTGACTATGGAAATATGTCTAGTGCTTGTGTTCTATTTATTTTAGATGAAATGAGAAAGGCCTCATCCAAAGAAGGGCTTAGTACCACAGGTGAAGGCCTTGATTGGGGTGTACTTTTTGGATTTGGGCCTGGGCTTACTGTTGAGACTGTTGTGCTCCATAGTGTGTCTACTTAGTATATAATATTACTAAAGGGGGTTATAAGTTAAATAGATTATCTATGTAATCTTATATTATATTTCTTATATTTGGTGTATCATGTATTTATTTTGTTTTCAATTGAACTTTGTAATGCATAATGTGTGTAAGAAAAAGTTCATTTCCCCTTGATCTCTTGTCTTTCTTGATATTATTTTTTGTCCATAGCAAAGTTTCTAAAATCTAGCTTAAAAGATAAGTTGTTAAATTAAGAGGAGATAATTTAACTGAATGATACGTTTCTATATTTTGTTAATAAGAAGTATAATTATATTAATTGGCTCCCACTCGAGACATAAATAAAGATATGGATATTTTTTCATGATTTTTTATACGTTTTCTATTTCATTATATGATACTGTTTAGCTTGATACAAAATTTAAAAAAAAGAAGAAAGAATTTGGAAATTAGATTTGTGGTCTAAAATACAACTTAGGTATTTATGTAGCAACAAATCAGTTTATTAAATGTAAAAAAAAAAATGATGTTTGATTCTTTTTAATTATAAAAATGTAATATTTTTTTTTAATTAAAAAAAGTATGTTATATAAGCTTAGAAAGAGGGAGTGTGGTTTAACTTTTAGCTACATCTTTTAACCCATATATAGTTACTCAATTTAGTCCACTTTTACTTGTCCGGTTAAATAAAAATCAATTATCAAATTCGAAAAACCAAAAGCTAATTATTATTTTATATTCTCTTCGTTTCACAAAGAATAACATGATTTGACTTAGGACGAAGTTTAAGAAAATAAAGAAGATTTTGAATTTTGTAGTCCTAAATTAAAATTATGTCAAATGTATAAAATTGTCATTTGATCTTGTGGCCTTCAACGTGCCACGTGGAAAACTAATACTAAAATTTTACAAAAAAAAAAGGTTATTTTTTAAAAATAAACAAAAAAAAGAAAGGAGATCATTCTTTTTGAATTGGAAGGAGTAGTTTATACATATAATTTATCTTGAATACTCCTAAAAATTATGCATAATTGATCATTGCGTGAGATTATTATTATTAATAATGATAAAGTAAAATTATTATTTTATATCATTTCTTAAAAAGTATTGTGACGAAGTAAATAAAAATGAACGGAGAAAATATATATAAATAAGATTAATGGATAACTTTAACCTTAGCCCACACGAAAATAAAGTCTAGTACGGTCTAATTTAGTACCACATATTTGCCCCTAACATGGATTACATTTAATTGAATATAATATCCTCAATAGTACTAAATATATCGGGTCTATTTGTAAGATGAAATAAATAACGATATAATAAGATTATTTTAAGTAATGAAAATTACTAAAGTTCTTTACACGAATGGAGGTATATAATGGTCAAATAGATATTTAAAAATAAAATTTCAAAAACTATTGAGAGAGAGTAAAATGCTAGCTAAATTATATGTCTTCAATCAACACGCTCCATGATGCACAAATTTATGATAGGTTCTTTATATATCAATTTAAGATTTCACTTTTAGTTCGAAATATATATTATCTATTAATATCTTATGCGTTTTATTTTGAATAAGATTATGATTTTAGATTTGAATTCGTCTTTCATAGGTACCTGATGGAATAGAAAGTAACAAAGGAAATATTGATGTGGCAAGTACAATCCGCCAAGTGTGGTTAAAGCATATTATAAGCAATATGAAAGAGATTTTGTAAATTTTCTAAAGTATCGCTCGAAAGAATTAGTAGATGCTGGATGTATGATATTAACCATATTGGGAAGAAAAAACGAAGAACGCTTTAGCAAAGGAGCTTGCTACCTATTAGAGCCTATGGCGAGGGCTCTTAGAGAGTTGGTTGTAAAGGTAGAAACTTAAACTTTTAAGATACAATATAACTTACAATTCGTTTTACCTTTAGAGATGAGTAACCGATTGTGTAGTTAGAAAATATAAACGGAGGATATGTATTGTTAGGTTTCATTTGTATGAAAAGATGAGTGTTGATTTTATAGAGTTCTAAATGTTTCCTTTAAGGAAAGAATAACCAAATATTGGGAAGAATTATATATTTTTTTTCGGAAAAAGTTAAAGATTTTATGATAATACTTTGACTTTCTTTTAAGAAAAAAATAAAAAACTTAAACTATGATAAGACAATTAGGGCAAAAAACCCTAACACGTCCACCATTATCAACTTTTGTCGTTACTGTCGATTATTATCAACTATCACTATCCTTCTACTCGTAACCAACACCCTCACCTACATCTATCATTGTTGTCAATCACTACAATCAACTCTCATCACTATTAACCACCATTTAAAATCATCACAATTAATTACCATTTGCCATAACGATAATTAATCACTATTGAGTATCGACAATCACCACCATCTATCATCACCACATATTCCTTTAGCTCTATCACTATCATCCACCACAACTAATCAACTTCTACCATCAACCATTATTGCCACATGTATAACACCGCTATTAGCTTGCAACATCACCACTTACAATCAGTATCGCTACTCGCTAGCCATCATCATTATCAACCATCATATACTTTTCATAAAAATATTCTTTTGATATGTTTAGATTAATTTAGTGTTTAATTAATTTTGTTTAATATTTTTTAATTTTCAAATAAAAATAAGTTTTATGCACTCAATTGTTAAAATAAATCGTCGTAACTATTTAATATTTAGACGTGTATTCAGATTAATAAATAAATAATATTATTTAAAGAATAAAGAATGATAACTTCCTTCTTTAAATCCCATAAATTTTCCATACATTTCGTGTACTTAAAATTACCTGTCTCATGTTCCATTCTTTTAGGAAATTAATAACCACCCAAATAAATAAATAAAATTTAAATATAAAATAAATCTCATCCTCCTTTTACATGTACAATATAATAATTAATCACTAAAAGTGATTTTCTTTTTCTGTGTATGAAACAATTTCTTCCACATTCCATCCTTGTGAAAATGGCCTTCAGAATGGTAAGGGAAAAAAATTCATTACTATTCTTTTTTTTGTTTTTTTTGAGATAATTAAAATCGAGATAAAATTACGAGCATGTCTTATAGTTGGAATTTTAAAATTTCAAAAATTAAATTTGTGATGTCTTATTGTTGGAATTACTAGATATTTGATTTTCAATCTATGATCTCGATATCGATTAGAAAGATCAGATCGAGTTATTTGTTTAATTGAGATCTTATAATATTCTCTGATTGTTTTTGTTACCATTATAGAATATTTTTTTTCAAAAAAATATTGACGTTAACTTTTGTATTTATCATTTTTATGACAGAGATATTTGAAATCCATGACGAATGCCTTCGTGACGAATCGATCATTTGCTTCTTCTACTGCTCCAAGATTTTCCTCTAGGGGTGGTTTTACCTATGTCAACCCTAAGAAGTTCGTTTCTTCTGACTTATTTTTAAGATTGTAAATTTCATATTCCGAAGAAAAATACCTATAAAAAATATTATTTGAGTAAATAACTTTTAAAAAAAATTAATACGATTTGCCAAATACGTTTTTGATCCATGTCATTTTAATGTGTAACATTTACTCTTTTATCTTTGACATAGTAATATATATACACATCATCAAGTCATCTTTACGATTATAACAGATAACATATCTTATTTTTAAGATTATGAATCTCACATTTTAAAGAATTTTATATGTAGATATCTTTTAGGTGAACCCGATTGAGTAAATACTTCTTCTAATTATAAATAACATTTGTGTCCTTCAATTTTGAGTGTGTAACAAATAGAGCACACTTGAAACTTACATAAAACTGAATAAATAGACACATACATCCTACGTGACATAATACATGTAAAACGCTACGTATGACAGAAATTTTCATGTAGCATACCACGTAGGATGCATATATGTATTTATTCAATTTTATGCAAGTTAAAATGCCTACTTATGTACCCTCAAAATTAAGTTGGAGGACGTAGATATCAGTTGAGACCAAATTAAAAAATATGTTTATGTATTATACATATAAATAATGTTTTAAGTTGTCTACACTACCTACCATATTTCACTAGATGTACCTGTATAAGTAACCTGATTGTATATATTATCAGTACATAAAACTTAAACTCGATATCTGATCATTTGAAAGGTTGTCAATGACCAATGGGGATATGGCACCAGTGTATGTATTGGGTGGAACATTATCACTGGCAATAGGACTATGCATTTTCACAATGAAACAACAATTATTTCATGGTCCTGGAGTTTTTGTTACCAAAAAAAAGAGAGAAAATATTGCTGAAGTTGATTTTCCAGATGCAATGGCTAGTTCTGGTACTAAGTATATTGACAAATCTGTCTTGAGGAAATTTGGAAGAATTCAAGATCCTATTAATTCTCAATATGATATTGATCCTTACACAAGGTATATTTAATTACTCTTTTTACCTTTTCGCGAAAATTACGTTTTATGTCTATTTCTGAAAATACTTACGCTATATATGTAGTCGATACTTTATGTTTAGACTCGTATTTGTGTATGAGCATCTTTTATACACTTTAGATGTACTATACATATGAGTACTTGCATAAATCCTATTAGTTTAGGAGTTAATTGTTTAGATATAGTCAAATTTGCGATATTACATATTTTACCAGATTTTGGTGCCTCCTGTCTCCAGATATGTTTAAATACATGTATCTCAAATAGATGGTGTCAAATTTAGGCGTAATTTATCCTAGATACTTGCATCCAAGTAGATTCGCATGTATCTTTCATACATAGCAAATCTCGCTCCTTCCCTCGCCTCTCTTTCATCTCGCTTGCCACACATACATGCGAATCACTCTAGATACATATAGATACATGTATCTAGTGTGTATCGAGTGTGATTCGTATGCATTTGGGATACATATATACAAATCTCACTTGTCTTTCACCCAATTCTCGCTCACCTCTCTCATATTTTTTATGTATCTAGTAGCAAAAATACATGTAT